AAGGCGATTTTGAGTGAGTTTTGAAGAGAAAAATATTGGGTAACGTTTCTTTGATCCCTTTTCATTATATTTCATCATTATATAGCTAAATACATCATTGGAATTCGAATTTAGGATCAAAATTGGTTAATTTGGGGTAAAACTTCATAGACCAAACTTTTGGCTTTTGAGGGGCATTTGACCTCCGATTTGGGAGATTTTTATATGGGTAGACTCGTGAGAGTACGAGAGTTTTGAAAATGTGAAAATTATGCGATTCCGAGATGTTGGCTGGAGGGGCGTTTTGGTCATTTTACCTATTCTCGCGCCCTAGCTTTAATTTTAATAGTGGAATTAGTTGTTTGCAATATTATTTACGATATGTAATTGAATTTAATAGATTTGGGCCATTTGGAGTCGGATACTCGTGGCAAAGGCGCGGTTTCTAGTGATATTGAGCCGGTTCGAGGTAAGTGGCTTGTCTAACCTTGTGTGGGGGACCTTTTCCCTTAGGATTTGTTTCTTGATATTTGAGTGCCTTGTACGTGAGGGGACGAGCGCGTACTTGAGCCGATTGATGAAAAATCCGATTTCACTTAAGTTGTCGATGTTTAGCTTTCTTTCTTACTTGCTTTATCCTACCTGAAAATTATACTTGTGCTAGATTAGGAAATCATGTTTAGCTGACTTAAATGCCTAATTGTTTAAGTTGTTTAAGTTGTACTACTTGAAGCATGCTAGGCTAGTTCTATCCGCTGCTTTGTCTTTCGTACTTTATTCCTTGGTTTGTTTCTTGCTGTGATTGCGCATTTACATTGGGACTACGGATGTGGGATTCCGGTAGCTCCCTACCTTGTTTGTTTACTTTGGGACTACGGGTTCGATTCCCGGGAGATCCCCCTACACTTTTATTTTGGGACTACGGGACGGTATCCCGGGAGATCCCCCTGCACATTGATGACTGGACTACGGGACGGTATCCCGGGAGATCCATTGGACAATTGAGGAAAGGGCTACAGGACGGTATCCTGGGAGACCCTCATTGGTATCTTGTAATAAGCTGTGTTTACTCTATGTTACTGCTCTATCCTTGTAGTTATTATTGCTTCGTTGATTTGCCTTATTACACTGATATGTTCATTATTTTTGTTAGATTTCCACACTGTTAATTATTGCTATTGTTATATTTTTGTCTCAGTAGGGCCCTGACCTTTCCTCGTCACTACCCAACCGAGGTTAGGCTTGGCACTTACTGAGTACCGCTGTGGTGTACTCATGCCCTTCCTGCGCATGTTTTTCATGTGCCGATCATCCAGGTACCTCTACTCAGGCGCACTATCAGTGAGGCAGGAGGACCACGGAGACTTCGAGGTAGTTCTGCTGCGTCCGCAGGCCAACGAGTCTCCCTCTTACTCTACCTTTAGTATCTAGTTTTCTCTGTTTTGGTTGTTAGAATATTCTGGAGTTTTGGAGCTTACTAAAAATTTCTATAGCCTGTGTTGCCGTGAGTTTCCGGGTCTTTGGGAATTGTATTAGACCGGTGTTATTGAGTTGTACATGCCGAGCGGCATCCAGTACAGTTTCTTCTAGTCATTTAATTTGGTTTCCTCTGTTTTTCTGTAGTTATTACATTTTCCGCAATATTTGGCTTACCTGGTCGTGGGGACTAGGTGCCATGACGACATGTTCACGATCGGTGAACTAGGTTCGTGACAGAAAAAATTGAATATATTAAATTTTTAAATGTTTGGTGAAGTCAGATATTTAAAATAAATAGGTTGCAAAGATGGTTATGTGAAGTGCAAATCAAACTATTCATTGCAAAAAAACACAATGGAATATTGAAGCAAAGTAACACTCCAAACATAATCTGATGCTCTAAACTAAAGTCATTACATTCAGCTCCAAACGAAAAAAACATGAACTGACATTTAAATCCTTTACAATAACGTAGCTAGCTAATAGATCTCTAGTCATTGTAACAGATTCAAGGTCCATAATATTATAAGGATATTCGATGTTCTTCCAGCAGCCAAGCTGCGGTAATAACTCCACGACAAGAGATCTCTGGTTTAGGGGCACGTCGAGTGAAAGCTGTTGTAGCCGCTAAACATCACACTGTTATTGCAACAGAAGCTGGAGAAGTTTTCACTTGGGGTTCCAACAGAGGTAAATGCTTTTCTGGTATTCATATTATCATAGGAAAATATAATAAATATCACTTTTCGATTGTGACAGGTTCAAAAACATCAGGGAATAAAGATCCTTTATGTTCTCGACTCCAGCATCAACTAACACACCACCACAATGGTCAAGTGATTGCAGATTTAATTTCTGATTCCTCCTAATCAAGAGTTGAGATTGTTGAATCTTGAATTTCCAACCACCATATTGCAAAGGAAGATATGCTATCCATTTTAATAGGGAACAGGAACTCGCACTGATGTAGGCCCTGATTTCACATCCTCCAAAAGAAGATTTAGCAAAGCTTGTGTCACAGAACCTTCTCTACCTACAGTAATGAGGAAGAAGCAGAAAGTAAATGAGAATACCATCAGTAAAACACCTAAACCCATTTTACAACTACATCAACGATCGTAAACTTATATGTCCCTCTTGCATAAATATGACACAAGATTCAGATGGGACTTGTGTTCAGAAAGAACAACAATGAGTGATCATATATTCGTATCTAATATCTGTCTAGTCTCAGTTTGTCAAACATTACTTTCTTTGGACCACGAAATTAACAAACGTTTGTTACTGCTCGAATTTTGAAATATCATATTTGAAGCAGCATATGAAACACAAGCAAATCGAATAAAGTTCACACTTCAGGTCTGAAAATGAATCTTAGGTATAACAGTTACTATGGACAATAATGGCACAGTACACAGCAAGGCGAGATTACTATTTATATGCATGAGCATGAAGGAATAGTATGAGATGCTCGTCCTTTGTGATCGTTGTCCAAATATTATTAAGAAGTCAAGTTAAAAATTCTATTTTCGAGCTACCAATGTGACAAAGAGATAAGAGAATAGTATGGGACTTCCATCCGTTTGCCTCCCTCAGTAGTTGAGGAACAGAAGTCTGAAGACAATGAAGTCACCAGTGAAACTGCTCCTCTTCTGATACGAGCTTATTTGACAGGAGTCTTCCAACAGACTTTGTACGGTTGGATCAAGATATTTTGACACCTCTTGCAGGGAAGAAGCAGCTATATACCTATGAAACCATGGATTTCTGGGAACAAATTAAGACACCAGGGTAAGCTAATCATATAAAGTGCATATCATCCCAGCTTTTCCATTTCAAATATCAAGATTTGAGGTAATGGGTAGGTTTGTTTCTTTTGTAGGATGTCTCTGAAATGCTCTGGTCTCTACCTGGCTCAATATAGATCTACCTCACCACATCTTTTGGCAAGTGGGGATGGCTCAAAGACGGCAGCGATCAGTGGTGATGATTTATCCATCCATCTCCTAAAGTTCATCCAACTGCAAAGGTTATATTCAAATACAAGTACGACTAAGATATTCTGATTATTATGTTATGTTGTAGATCTCATGGTTGGTTAATTGAGATGAATGGTTTTATTTTTTACTGCAATAACTTTTTTTATATGAAAAACAACAAATATTTTTTCTAGTTAATTGACGACTATGTGTTTGCAACAATTAACACCCTCCATGTTATAGACATCTAGGCTTTGTACATGTTTGCAACAAGTTTCGAGGTCATCTGTTTTGTAATGTATCTGATTCTTGGTATGGATTATGGTATGTATTGCAGCATTTTCTACATTGCCAAAGCTGCAAATTGTAACCTTTTTTTCAGTTAAAAGTAATGAGATAAAATCTGATATCTGCTTGGCATATATGCATCAAAAAGAGCTTTCTCTGATAGCTCTGGCTTACTTCAATCCTACCCCTCATAAAGTTTTTATTTTTTTAATATTGTTTTCTCTATTACATCAATAATTGCCATGGACAGTGCAGTTGCCATGATTTTTGACTCACTTATAACCTCCTTCCTTCACCATCCTTATTCTCTATGAGATGCCAGAGTAAGCTATCGTCTACATTTTTTACAGCATTTTGTTGCAGCTAATCTTCAATATACTACTTTTAACATTTAAAAAGGATATAAAAGCACATGTATTGAATGGCGAAGTAGCGACACAAAGAATAACACCTTTTCTTTGCTCAATTAAATATCGCATAACGTAATATTCAGAAATTAATTATACAAAATAGAGAAATGAACCTTTGAGAAACTGGGCTTGGAATTTCCTTGAAGGACTACCATTATTAAACGACATCACTCCACCTGTCAAAATAAGGTTTGTGAATGAAAAAGACGGCGCGAATTAAAATTAGAATGTTAATTATCTTTTAGAAATAGAAGAGGGAAAACATCTAGCTATCTTATAATGAGGATATGATATCATAAGTACACACACAAGGTACATATCCAATCACCTTTGAAAGCTGACATTGAACATCTCCAGTACTAATTCCAAATTTGAAGCAGTGGAAAAGTTTAACCTCCAGTGACAATCCCCTCTTTCAAATCGACATTACAAAACTAAAAAATGCAGAAAATAAGAAAACGAAAACAAATTGCATTTACTTAGTCGTTCGGAATACAATATTGTAAAATCCAACTTATAATCTGTTCCAATTAACATAACTGAAGAGGAAAGGAAAAAGGAAAAAATTCGTACATGATATTCTGTGCTTCTTCACAAATGCGATGTAAGAAGTGCCGTTAATCCATGTTATGGCAAATCCTGACAGATCTGTATTTGCAACATTTTATGAAATATTAATTTATATATAAAATAGAGAAATAGAGAAAGATATAAAAAAAGAACAGAAAAGTAAAGCGTACCTATTACATGTTTCAGATATCTTCTCAACAGCTATTGTCGCACTTGGTTAATGAAACTCAGCAACAAAAGTAGTACTTAAACCTCAAAAAAGACAACGATAATCTTTCGAGTGTCAGACTAAATTTCAAAAAACTTCTTTAAATACAATATTTGTAGCTTCAGTAGTTATTTGCCCATCGTCATCACAAACCAAAATTTTTAATCCCTTTCTGCTTGTCACCTGAGAAAGAGCAACATATAGTTGTCCATGGGTAAAAATTAGTTTCTTCAAAAATAATCCCTCATGAGACAATGACTGTCCTTTACTTTTGTTGATTGTCATGGCAAAAGAAACGATGATTGGAAATTGTCTTCGCTGGAACTTAAATGGAATTCTAGCATCAGATGGAGTCAATGTCATTCTTGGAATAAACACTTTTTGTCCGGCCATCTGTCCTGCTAACACCTTGGCTTCAATAACTTGATTTCCATGTTTAGTTATGATCAACCTTGTTCCATTACATAATCCTGCTGACTGATCAATATTTCTTTATAACATTACTGGAATACCAACCTTTAGAGTAAGAGCATGATTTGGAACTCCAGAATATTTAATTGTATTAAAGGATTCAGGAGTGTGTACATGTTCCAGTGCTGAATAAGTATTGTCAGAGTTGTAGATTGTATCGGAACTCAAATATGATTTTTCATAACTTTGATTAAGAGAAATCATATATTCGCTGATTGATTCCACCATATCAAGAGTTGGAGTAAGAATGGCTCTTTGCTGGAGGTATCCTATGTCATTGCAACGACTGTTGAAATCTGGATATGTACTTTCTACAATTGCAGATGTTGGATCAACAGATTGTTTTATCAAAAGATCATCTGGTATTTAGACTTTTTCATTGCCCTCAACAGAAGTACCAACTATACCATCGCCAATTGCCAAAATCCAATCTGAAAAAATTCTCAACTCATCTAGATGTGTCCCTATTTCATTATCTTGCAATCTCATATTCTTTGTTAACTTTAAGAGTTGACAGTGAGGCCACAAATAAGAAGAATTGAGAGAAGCATTAACAATATCTTGTCTACTACCTTTTGGAATGACTGATAATATTTGTGTGAAGTCACCACCAAGAACAATTGTTTTACCTCCAAATGGTCAGTGTAAATTGGATGTATCTTTATACCTAAGAATATCTATTAAAGTTTTATCAAGAGCTTCAAAACAATATCTATGCATCATGGGTGCCTCATCCCAAATAATCAACTTTGCCTTAATAATTAAATTTTCTAAAGGAGTACCTTGCTTGATATTACATGTTGAATCTCCAGTTACATTTAGAGGAATCGCAAATCTTGAATGAGCTGTTCGACCACCTGGTAACAACAAAGATGCAATCCCGCTAGATGCAACAGTTAACACAATATCTCCTCTAGATCTTAAGGCAGAAGATAGAGTTCTCCAAATAAAAGTCTTGCCTGTTCCTCCAAAACCATATAAAAAGAAAAATCCACCTTTGTCTTCATTCACATCTCTTATTATTTTTTCATAAACTGACTCTTGCTCATGTGTCAAATTCTTTACTAATTGTTGATGTTCATCTGCCAAAACACATTTATTATAATGCAATTCATCCCATATTAATCTGTTACTGTTATCAATTTCTTCCGTATTATAAACATGCCTTGGCATTGTTGGAAAATCCTGGAAACTTCTTCCACAACCTTTCAAAAAAATTTCAAGATTTTGCAAACAATGATTTTTCAATTCTTCATCTGTTAGGTCAGCTTCTAAAATAACATGAAAATATAAAATAATTAAGTACAATTAGATTGTAAAGTTTAATTTAGCCTCATGAAATAAATAATAAGATTAACGAAAAACTACAGTGGTCAATAGTAGTTTACATTAATTTAAAGTACGTTTAACGTACATAGAATTTGAAGTAATAATATAGTCAAAACAATGTGCTCCTTTTTATTTTTTAAAATTGTTAATTGTCACGATCCCAACCCCGGTCGTGTTGGCACCCAACACACTGCTAGGCAAGCCTGACCAATTTAACAACCTTAACCCTATTTATGCAATTCATGATTCAATTAACACAAATAATTACTAAGTCATAATACTGAAACTCTGAAATATAGTTAAAACATGCGGAAAACCCAAGTAGAAATACTACTACTAGACAGCCCGAAGAATTCGGTGTCACAAGTCTGAGCCTCTAATACACGGGTGTCAACCTACTACATATTACTCTAAAGAAGTGCGGAAATAAAGCAAATAGGTTAGATGGGATGATCAGGACTGCGGACATCATGCAGCTACCTTGATGTTCCCAGATGCGATGTTCGGCAGAGAAATCCTCACTCAGCCTCAGTGGGTGCACCTAGATCTGCACGCAAGGTGCAGGGAGTAATGTGAGTACTTCCAACCCAGAGAGTAATAAACATAAATAATGGTTGAGAGTATGAAATCCTGGATAGGCACAATGTAAGCTATAATTACGGCAGTTTATCCAGATAATATCAACTCAATAAACCAATGAAAAGAATGATGCTGCAACAGATAAGTAAATGAATGACAATCAATTAAGAAATGCAACAAATAGGACGGTACTCTCTAGTACCCGCTGCAGCGTACAACCCGCTCCCTTTATTTATCATCGACGACGCTCACTGGGGGTGTGCAGACTCCGGAGGGTCCCCTTACGACCCAAGCGCAATATCAAGCCATCTCGTGGCATCCATTAGGCCCTAAGCCTCATATCAATATCAATATAATACTGCTGCGGCGCGCAGCCCGATCCCATATCATTTAGCATTGTTGCGGCGTGCAACCCGATCCTCAAATATCATTTTTGCGGCGTGCAACCCGATCCATAAATATTATTGTTGCAGCGTGCAACCCGATCCATATCATTTATCATTGTTGCGGCGCGCAACCCGACCATCAAATATCACTGTTGCTGCGTGCAACCCGACCCATATCATTTAGCATTATTGCGGTGTACAACCCGGTCCTCAAATATCATTATTGCGGCATGCAACCCAATCCATATCATTTATCACGCTACCTCACCCAAACAACAGTCACAAATAAGGGGAAAGGAAGTAAACAAATATTGGAGGAAATCCCGGCAAGGGAACAATATCAATAAACTCAATATATCCAGAATCATATAAGCCCCTCGGGCACAATAATATATAAATATTCAGCCCAAACTTCATTATAAATATTATTTAAGTTCCATGTTTGAGAAAAAGTGGATGAGTTTGCAAAACAATATCAAATACTAGGACTGAGTTCAATTATATGTAAAAATAGTAAGAAACTAGTAAGAGCAATCCCTGAAGGATTCAATCAGTTGGCACGCGGCCAAATTATGACAATTAATCCATTTTTATAAGGATATCAACTAAGCTTTAATCAATTAGGTAGTAATTTTATTAAGCGGGACGGACCAAGTCACAATCCTCGATGGTGCTCTACCCCACGTCCGTTATCCGGCGTGCAAGTCACCTCATATAGCACTACGATGTGCAAATTCGGGGTTTCAAACCCTCAACATAACATTTACATCTATTACTAACCTCAAGCCGGCCAAAATCCTAACTCGCTATGCCCTTGCCTCTCAAATCGACCTCCTCACGCATCTAATCTGACCAAAACCACAACGAATACGTTACATTATGCTATAAGATCAATACCCAATCGAAAATAATCGAAAAATATCAAAAATTCCGAATTTGGCAAAACCCGAACCCCGGGCCCACTTATCGAAACTCATAATTTTTTACAGAAAAATGTTCTTCATCTTCTCCCGATTCTGTATATATAAACAACACCAAAATTGGAGTCTGTTTGACCCGTCAAATCGACCCCTAAACATCTCGTAATCCCAGGCCCCAAAATCCTATTTTTCTACTGTTTTTCATGAATTAAAGGCTGAGATTATGGTTTATAATCACCCATAAACGAGTTTTAATAATCAAATCACTTACCTCTGTGATACCCACTGATTTTCTCTCCTAAAATCGCCTCAGAAGCTTCTTCTCGTTCAAAAATTGGAAGAAAACTCGACCTGCTCATATAGGTATACTTTTCACGCGTTTTACTGCTCCCAATGGATTCTTTGTAAAATTTTAATGAATTTAGGCTTTTGAATCACTCAATTTAACCTTATAATGAAGGAGATATGTAGGTTTTAAGATTTGCAAATAGTGCAGGTTTTTAATACGCCGTCAAGGGCAATTTCGTCATTAACCTAAAAATCTGGGCAACATTGGTAAAATAGCCATAAAATCCTCATACGATGTCCAAATTCGACGATTCTTTTTGCTACGGGTCCGTAATTACGATACGGATCTAATGCTTCATTCAAAACAGTAATCGGAGCTCATTTGTTCAATATGATATCATTTATGCTTGAAGAAATGACGTCGAAGCATAAGAAAAACGAGCACAACACAGCCCAAACCTATCCGAAACTCACNCATAGAAGGGACTTCGGCCTGAGAACACCCGCTAGGCTACCTCGTGAGTCCCTGGACTGAAGATAGCTCCCGGAAATCCTACTGCTGCGGTCCAAAAGCTGCTCCCTGATCTGTGCACAAAAATGTACAGAGTGTAGCATCAGCACAACCGACCCCATGTGCCGGTAAGTGCCTGGCCTAACCCCGGCGAAGTAGTGACGAGGCTAGACAAGACCTACCAAAAATAACCTGTACAGATATATATACATATACAAGAGCAACGGAAATAATAACAGAAGATATCAAGTAAAGCTGGGAAGGGGGCATGCTCGAGGATAACAAATGAAGACGAATTATTAGAAATAACAGCAGAACTACTCCGGGTTTCCATGATATATATATAGTGGACGGCGTGCCACACGATCCCATATTATAATACATAAGTGGTCGGCGCGCCACACGATCCCATTTCATAACATATATAGTGGTCGGCGTGCAACACGATCCCATTTCATAATATATAAGTGGACGGCGTGCCACACGATCCCATATTATAGTATATAAGTGGACGGCGTGCCACACGATCCCATATCATAGTATATAAGTGGACGGCGTGCCACACGATCCCATACTATAGTTCAAAATATCTGACTTTGTAAAGAAGGCCCCATTAGGGAAATTCGACATCATAACACTTTAACCCGGCAAGGGTACAGCTAACAGCCCAAATATCCCGGCTAGGGAGAGTACATAATAATAGTCTACACGTCCCGGCAAGGGAATAATCACAACACATCCTCTTTTAAATCACTTCTTTCTCCACTATCACATTCTTGTTCGAGCCAACGCTCCAAAATATACCAATCACAATTCTTCCTCAACCATTCACATTATATGAAATTTATCGAGTAAACAGGGAAATTGTGTCACATCATTCGAATTACAAGCAATTAAGACTCACGGTCATGCTAGACTCCGGTGCATAGACAACCGTCACCATGCCTATACACCATACTCCACATTTAGCAAGTAGCAAATAACATCCTAATCATATTCCCTCAAGCCAAAGTTAGAACAAACACTTACCTCGGTCCAAAGAATAGCAATCCACCCTCAAATACCGCCTTTCCTCTACAATCCGACTCTGAAACAATGGTATCTAGTCATAATTAGTTCAATAATATCAATAAGGGCTCAAAAACATAATCTCATAGCCTAGAAATGAAATTCCCATCATTCTTCCAAAAACACCAAAATTCGACACCGGTCCCACATGGTCCAAACACGAGGATCGGACCAAAACCCAATCACCCATAACCCCACGAGTTCAAATATACAATTTATTCCAAGATTCGACCCCAAATTGAGGTTGAATCACCCAAAATCCCCAAAACCCTAGCTCTACCCAAAACCCTTAATTTCTACTTTGATTTCATAAATTAGGTGTAGGAATTCCGTAATTAATGAAGAAGAGTGAAGGAATTAGGTGGGAAATTACTTACCCAAAGACTTTGGTGAAGAAGAGCTTCAAAAATCGCCCCTAGAGCTTGGAGAAGACAAGTTTTATGAAGAAATGGGAAAAATCCCGTAATGGGTCTGTTTTGAGCTTTTAAAATTAACTGGGCAAAAATGCCCTTCGCGTTCGCGGGAAAGGAGCCGCGTTCGCGAAGGGTTAATTCAACAGACCCTCGCGTTCGCGATGAGGAGGCTGCGAACGCGAAGAGAAAGACCGGGGGGTCCAGGGAAATTAACTACGCGAACGCGTGAATTAGTTCGTGAACACGAAGAAGGTGGAACTAAAGCTACGCGAATGCGGGCAAGGCTAATGTGGTGGCGGATGCCTTGAGTCGCCGGGCGGAGAGTTTGGGGAGTTTGGCATATTTACCAGCTTCAGAGAGGCCTATGGTGATGGATGTTCAGGCCTTAGCCAGCTAATTCGTGAGATTGGATCTTTCGGAGCCCAGTCGGGTTCTAGCCTGTGTGGTTTCCCGGTCTTCCCTATTTGACCGTATCAGGGAGCGGCAGTATGATGACCCCCATTTGCTTGTCCTTCAGGACAGGGTCCAGCGTGGGGATGCCAGAGATGTGACCATTGGAGATGATGGAGTAATGAGGATGCAGGGCCGGATTTGTGTGCCCAATGTTGATGGCCTTCGAGAGTTGATTCTAGCAGAGGCCCATAGTTCGCGGTATTCCATCCATCCGGGTGCCGCGAAG